GAATAATGGCGAAGAGCACCATGACCTTAAAAGAAATAGAAAAAGAAAAGACTCATCGAGAAAAAAAATGATGTCAACAAGAATTAACCGATGAATATAAAAAATGACATGAACATTTATAAGTAAAAAAGCAAAAAAAGAAAAAAGTTGATGAGACTAGACCCTAAAAATAAAACAACTTAATATGAGAGAAGGTTACCTTTAAAAAATGAACTAACCTAAAAGATAGAAAAAATATGTAGATTCTCCAAATCGAAGTCTATCTAGACACATAGTTCTTTCATACTCAAGACTCACTTTTTTCTTACCCAAACATTCTCATCGATCTATCACTACCCTTCCTTAGACATAGGGTTAAGCCAGTAAGCACTCTTGTGATAATCCTAACCTTCGATGATTGGTGGAACTAGGCATCGTCATTTTACTCAAGCTAACCCCTCATAAGCTCTACCTTAAAACTCTATGCCTTTCAAAACTAAAACTAGAAGATATGATAAAGAGAAAATGTACTAAAAAATGGAAAAATAGATGAAAAGAAAAGACTAGTAAGGTTAGAAGTAAAAAGCTTTCGAAATAAAAAAATTTAGGTTAGATGGAAAAGTAAAAAAAGTAAAAAGATTAAAAATGAAGACCTTAACAACCTTTTATATAGCTATGCTTCATATCAGACGGTTGACCTAGATTGTGTCATGTGTTAGAGCACCATTAAAATATGTCTTTTCACCTTTCCCACTCTAAATTTTACTGCCAAAACTACTTCTCTCCTTATTTAATGTGACCTCAACCATTCAACCGAGTCAGACCAACCAAATCGAATGGGTCCCCAAGTCAAGTTGATCTAGTGAACACATGGTTAGTTCACCACTAGGATTTAAAATAAAGATTCAAGCTCTAGCTTTTAAAAAAGCATCCAAGTCCCACATTATCCAAACGAACTCCCCAACCCTTCTAAATCTCTCATTCTAACCTCGGATCATTGCATAAAAAAAAATATGTTAGCTTTTTATGTGAGATGATAATCTAAAAAAGGGTGAATTGGATCTCTCTAAATTTTTCTTATGTTAGCCTTGAATTGATAAAAGTTTTTGAATTGATAAAACAAAATTTTGCCTAACTTGAATCAAATTTATTTTTTCTCAAATTGAATTTTTTTTAGCCTTTTATCTTGCCAAAAATTATTTTTGAACTAAAATAAAACATGTTCAGGAAACAAAATGAATTTTGAACAATTTGGGATAGAAAGATCGATCCCCTAAGGGAGGGATCAATCCCTGCACATGACCCGATCAATCCCTTAGGTGAAGGAATCGATCCATTTTTCTTCTAGTAACCTATCTTAAGCAAAATTTTTAAAAAATCAATTGATCTCCTCCTTATAAGGATCGATTAGTTAGGGTTTCAAAGTGACCTAATATATTCTCCCTTTAAAAGATCGATCCATTTTTTATATAAAAAAATTTGAGGTTAAAAACTTACAAAATGGACCAATCCCCCAACATAGAGGATTGATCACTGGGTAAGGGATCAATCAGGTCCCTTACCTAATCGATCAAGTAGCCTTTGTTTGGCATGAATATTGGTCTTATTTCAACTAACCCTATTAGCCCCCTATATAAGGGGATTGATCTTTTGATGCCCAGAAAGCTACAACATTTATTATTTTGTCTGAAATTTTATAGGTTTCAAGCATTAAATGTAAGCAATAGCTATCTCACTCTTTCAACATATAAATGAAGGTTTTTCACTACAATTAAAGAGAATGAAAAGCCAATAAAACTTATTGCTTTCATCTACCATCTTCTCCAAACATTAAAAAGCATTTTAATGAAAGAAAAGTGCAGAAAGTTCATATTGTATCTGTTTTTCTCTTAACATTCTTCTCAATATTGATTTGTAATTCATATTAGCAAATACCCAACCTTAGAAAGGTTCTTTGAGTTTACAAAACACTTCAAAAATTTAAATTGTGAAATTGTAAGCTTAAAGGGGAAGATAACCCTAAAGGATTATGTTGTTGATTGTATAGAGCTTTGAAGAGCTAGGTTGTAATATTCAACGCATAGTAGACTAAACTCCTTGGCAAGTGAGGCTAAGAAAGAGGATAGAAGAACCTAAAAGAAGGGTCGAATCTCTATAAATTTTGGTATTTGATTATATATCTCGATCTCTTGCTTTTAAGATTATTAGTATACTTACATTAGTTGTGTTTATTTGCTTAGAAAATTTTATTTGTAAAATTTGTACTTATTGGATATTAATTTTTGAAAAATTTATTATAAACCAATTTACCCTCTTCTTAGTTTATTTCAAGTCTTTGAACTAACATCTTAAAACAATAATTTCAAAATAATTGAATGAGAAATTAAATTAATAAACACTTTTAATGAAAATATAATGCAATCAATAACAATTAATGAACCTAGAATCAAATATATATATATATTACTAAATGTATGGAGATAGGGATAAAAAAATCAAACACAATGATTTACAGAGATTTGGTCATTTTTCACAAGGGATCTTCATTCTCTCTTCTTGGTTGTCACACTAAGGCTTCAATCCACTAATTTAAAAAAAAATCTTATAAGATACGAACCTATCTTATACTAAATCTTTATCTTTTTTTAAGGCTTAGATAGCAACCTCTACCCTTACAATATTAAGATGATACCTGACCTCTTGCTTACAAGATAACCTAAATAATTTTTATAAATTAAAATACCTCTAAAGGTTGAGTGTTTGCTTAATGAAGTACAAAACAATGTGATGAATGAACAATGGCAATGATTTGGATACAACAAATACAAAGATATAGACTTTAAAGCTCTAAAACTCTTGATTTCTTTGATAGAATGAATATATGACTTATTTGATATTGCTCTCTTAATTCATCAACTTTCTTGGTGTGTTGGAATGCCCAATATATAAAAGAAATGAGGAAACAACCATTTGGCGATGGTTGGGAGTTAAAAATACTCGTTGAAGCTTGAAAAACTAGTTGTTGGAGTATTCTAGGCAAGAGAGGATCGATCCCCTCTTATGGGGGATCAATTGAGTCAGTTAAAAGGTGAGCAATTTTACGCATGAAAAGGCATAACCAATTGATCCCTTTTCAGTTGATCGATCCCTTACTTTAGATGATCGATCCATTTTCAAATCCTGGAGCAATTTTTTATTTTGGATAAAAAATCAATCGATCTTTTTTTTTTAAGGGATCAATTTTGTCCATAAAAACCTAGAACCAATCAATCCATACAAGGAAGGGATCGATCCAGTCAAGCTGGGTGGTTATCTCCTATTTTGTACTCTACTTACTAATTTGATCATATCTTAAGTTCAAATCAAAAACCATTTAAAGATTTAGAAACTAGACTAAAAGATTTTTTATCCATATAAAATTAATCACCTAATTCATTGTATACGAATTATAGTGAATTTTTAAAACTACCATTTATGTAGTTTTTAGACAACTACAAAGTGTCAAGTAAAAATTCAAAATCTTTTCTTAAAAAAATTTGATTTTGATTTTATTTAATCCATTAGAAAGTAGACTCAAAGAGCTTTCCAATCATATAAAATTTAAATATTAAAACTTTGTAAATTAATACAAAAAAATAAAACAAGTTCAATGATGAAAAACTGTGTTCTTGTAAAATAACTTTCTTAAATTAATCTATTTCTCAAAACCAATATTATCAAAATTGTATTGAGTTCAAAATGAATAAATTCACTTTAAAATCAACAATTGAACTTCTATTTAAACTCAAATAAATAATGGTTAAAGATAGTTTTGATTTGAGAAATAAGAAAACATAAAAAAAAGGTTTGTTTAAACTTTGAAAATCATATTATTTATTTAGTATCAAAATATAAAACTTAAGAACATGTATTAAATAAATCTTTTTTAAAATCTTGATCAATCTTATTTAGCTTAATATTTTATCATTTCAAAATAAAAATCAATTTGAGGCTAACAAAACACTTCAGCAACTTTCAAACTAGCGATACATTTAACCTAAAACACCGGCGCAAGATCAAACCCACATCAGATTAGAACACATCACAACACCTCGAGTTGAAGTAAACGACGAATAGCCCCTTGATGTCAGGGTCCATGCCGACCTCAATGATAGGAGATCGGATCCCTCATAATCCCCATCAAGTCGGCCAACCTGAGTGAAATGAATCAATCATACATCCAATAATCTGATACTCAGACTGCTAGGTAGGAGGATAAAATATTAGAGGTATTTAATGATCCAAAGAGCATGATGGTTTTTTTTTTATTAATGGCTTTTGGCAGACACCCAGAGACATGTTAAACATTTAGATCGATTTAATATGTTAGGTCAACTTGATACATTCAATATCATATCAACTTAATCACATCATTGTTATCCCTCATTAATCTTCTATCTCTCATCTATAAATATAAACATATAAGCATTATCATCTCATATTCTATTTAACCCCTAATCATTTATTTTTCTCTCATTCTAACCTATCTTATTTGATCTCTAACTTACATATTAAAATATAAATGCAAGAAATATTTTTTACTTTTACACTTAACTACTCTTTTTTTTCTCTTTTCAAAAACACTCTCACGTCAAAATTTGGCTCAAACATTACCATAGCCAAATAACATAAGCAGGGCCAATGAATACCTCCTGTTAGGGGAAATAATTCACATATTTGCTCGATTATTTTCCCCTTAATCACAAGGCAGCAAACCTCTGGTAGGCAACATACAATTAAAAACAAACACTCTATTTTAACACGTGTCTCGATATAATTGGTTGGTCGCCTAATTTACTTTGTCTGCTCCATTGCACTTTCCAGCTTGACTCTCTACCTGTTAACTATTTTTATAGGATATTTTTATTCAAATAAATAATAAATAAAATTGGCGGCTTTTTTTTTTTTAACTTGAATTAAGAGAGAGAGATCTGAAAGAGTGACGTGGCCTTCTCTATATCTCTACCAAACTATCCAAACGCTTGCCCACCTTCGCCTTTTCTTCCACTTTTCTCTCTCCACTGTCCCATCTTTTCGCCACGTCATTTCTTCGCTATCCTACACGTTTGCGCGCTACGCACCCTTCTTCCTACCTTCTCCATTACCTTTCATCTAAAGCTCCAAACCGAAAGCCCTAATCCCCAATTCTATCTTCTAAAAACAAAAATTAAACCCTCAGAACTCAGAATCCAACAAAAAAAAATCCTTTATGAGACCGGCCCTTTCACTTTGGGCGTTATTAACACGTGCGTCAGATCCTTGGTGAGCTGAAATCTGAGCCGTTGATGCCTCGCGCCAGCCTCATCATCCGACCATCGATCCTGACCGTCTGATTGGGTCCACTTGATCTTCTGCTTGCCGTTTATGGGAAGTGATTCATATAAAAGAAAAAGAATAGTAACTTTGACTAACAGCAAGCTTAGTCTTTTATTAGGTGGGGTGTACGGACTGTGAAAAAAGGATTCGATCAGAAGATGGGTTCAGGAAAATTGGAAACTCTAACCCCAATTTTGTCTCCAATTTGGTTTGTTGGAGAGAGGATGATTTTTATGGGCTTTCTCTAGTATTTACCATTTTTTGTATTTTTGTAGTTTAGAAAAAAGAGTTTTTTTTTTTTTTTGGGGGGGGGGTGTGTTTAGGGAATATGGAGAGCAAAGAGCTGAATTTGAACAAAGAGTGTAAAGCAGGAGGAGGGGGAGCAGGAGATGGTTTTACAGATAGGAGCAAAGTGAGGATTTTGCTATGTGATAATGATACCAAGAGCTGTGAGGAGGTTTTTTCACTTCTTTTGAAATGTTCTTATCAGGGTATACTTCACTTTTGTTAATATATATTTTTATACTTACTTTTGTTAATATTTTTACTTTGGTTTTTTTTCATCTCTTAGAGTTGTAGGGTATGTGCATGTCTTTTATTTATAAGTTGGTTTTATTGTTCTTCTTATTGGTGTCTGTGTGTTTTCTCTTGGTTGGTTATTGGGTTTTGGAATCAAATTCTGTGTTTTTTATCAGTTTACTTTTTATGTTGATTTATTTGTTGCTTTGGTTTTGTTTGAATTGTATGATTTAAATAGGTGAAGTGAAACTGATACTAAGGAGTTGATGCCTTAATGTGTGGATGGTACTGATTGAATTTTGTTTTAGGAATTTGAATATCGAAGTACAAATGCCAAATTTTGGTCCAAAAAAAGTACAGTTGCAAACTTGTTATTATAGTTTGAAGGAAAGAAATAAATAAAATAGCTTTTGACCCTTTTCTTGTGTGAAAAGAAACTGATTTGTGTCATCTGTAACACATATAGAACATTCATAGGAATGCTTAGATATATATTATTCTCTTCTGTAAGTACTTTTTGTTATTTTTTTATGATTATGCTACTTTTGCTTACTGAATTCTAGTCTTCTGTTGTGACTGGCTTTGCACCACAAGAGCTATTAGTTTCGAAAACTTGGTAAAAAGGATATATGGGCTATAAATTTAATTGTCTTGCCTGTTGTATTTAGTTCCTTTACTCGCATGCTTGGCCTTGTAAATACAACTGTGGCCAAAGTGAGTAGGATGTGGATAACAAACGAAAGAAGGGTAAGAAATGAATTCACTTTTGAGGAAGCACCAATTAAAGAGAAATTGGGAGTATGATGGAATATGTGTGTTTGGACGTGTATAACACAGGGCCAAGTATGCTACAGCTTAGAGCCTTTTGACGCATAGAGAATAATAAGGGTATAAGTAGACTGAAAATCACATGGATGACATTTTGAGTTGAATTGTATTCTATTCCATGGTGGCCAAGCTGAATAATGTTTTTACATAAATTTTAGAGTATATTCATCATGTCACTGATTTAGGTTGCTTCAACTTTTTGTAGTAACTCAACTTTTTATCTTACTTCTATGATTATATATTGCATATAGGAATGCCCTATAGTTTCATGACACTTTTCCTATATTTATTTTACAAGTTATATTTCAGCTTCATGATTCTGTGTTACTTTTTATTCACAGTGACTTCAGTAAGGTCTGCAAGACAGGTTATTGATGCACTGAATGCTGAGGGACCTGAAATTGATATCATACTTGCTGAAGTTGACCTCCCAATGACCAAAGGAATGAAGATGTTGAAGTATATTATGCGGAATAAGGAACTGCACCATATTCCTGTTATTAGTGAGTTTGTCTTTTACCTTCATTCTTAATCTGTCTAGCTTTCATGGTAGTGAATTTTCATTTTGGTATTTATGGTGATCATTATATATTTTTCTTTCCCTTCTATGATAAGTGATGTCGGCCCAGGATGAGGTCTCTGTTGTTGTTAAGTGCTTGAGGCTTGGTGCTGCTGACTATCTTGTCAAGCCTTTACGAACCAATGAATTGTTGAACTTGTGGACACACATGTGGAGAAGGCGACGCCAGGTTTTTTTTAGCAATTTACTTTCCTTTTTATCAGCTAGTATTTTTTGTATTATTTGTTGTTTTTCATGTTCTTTTTCTGTTCTTGGTTCCCTTCTATTATAAAAATAATTCCATTGCAGTTGATACTCAGAAGAGTATAATTAGGATGCAAAATTAGATGAAGGGACTGAAATCCCACTAACTGGCATTCCTTCAGAAGTTGATAGTTTTTTTTATGTATGTATGGATGTGTAACTAAAACCATTTTTTGATATTCACTTGGATGTTTTCTCTGGCAGCTTGGTCTGGCAGAAAAGAACATCTTGAACTATGACTTTGATCTAGTGGCATCGGACCCTAGTGATGCTAATACAAACAGTACTACTTTGTTCTCGGATGACACAGATGACAAGTCCCGAAAGATCACAAATCCAGAGATGGGAGTTTCAACTCCTCAGGAAGACGAAGTGAGTATTGATGTTTGATTACAAATACTTCTCTGGGATTATTGAACTCCTATTATCTTTTTTGAGAGGTTTGAGATGTAGAATTTTCCTGTTGATGCCCCATGCTACCTGCTGTGTTCTTAGTTGTGTGATTTGTGTATTGCTTTAATATTAATTCATTTATTACATAGAACTAACTGAACTGAAGAGAGCAGCTTATGTACCAAAAAGTAGAGTAACAATGTTCAAGTAAAAATTTGAGAAATAGCCTTCTTAACATATGACAACATCTTCCCCCCTCCCCCTTCTTCTCGTGTTTCACCCTTTCCCCAAAATAAATAACTATTGAGAAGGGAAAATTTTTTATATTATCATTTGCATTAGTCATAAACCCATCCATATGAATTTAAGCTTGGCAATAATGTAGTCTACCTTCTGTAATGATCTTGACCAAGTTTTACAAAGCAAGAGAGGTGATTTAATTGTATTTTCTACTATTACCCTCCTGTGTATATTGTTGCGGTTAATATAATTCCCATGCTCATACTATTCTGTGTTACTTCTTAACATAAGCTGTATGAAATTGATGATATTAGACTTCCAAATAGGAAATTGTTATTTTGTGAAATCAATTGCGCAGGCAATTAGCAGCATTGGCAACTTGTAAAACTTAAGATATGAATATGTACTTTGCAGATTTAAAATTATAGGCATGTTAAGGGGTGCGAGAAATTAGGTTCTGAAGTCAAACGCTAGCCTTAACCAATTATGCACAACACCTACAAATTAAATGTGTTCATGTACGTATGTATCTATCCGTGTATATATATGCATACATGTTTTTATCCATATGAATATGTGTATAATATGGGTGATAAAAGCATCAAACTTAATTTGAGAAATAAATGTACAGTTGGCATCAAACTCAGGGAAATATAACTTGAGAGATATTGTATGTGCTGAACTTTAAAAGTAACCGGTGAACAAACTGAAATTTAAAAAATAAAGTTATAGTTACAGATTTGTAAGGCCTCAAACTATTCGCAAGATGTATATGATTATGTAAATTTGCAAAACCATTCATCAAGCATGCTGTATGATTCTTTCCACAAGACCTTGAGGCAATTAGGATATTCCTCTTTAACATCTGTGCTGGTGTGTGTCCATGTCATAAATTTCACAACCTGTACTTAGTGTTGGAAATGTATGGCAAAGCAATTGTGTTAAGAATGAAATGTATTGTTTGTGTTCATATAAGTGTTTCCCTCTTTCAGTCTGCTGCTGCTACTGTAGAGCCTCCTCAGACTGATTCATCAGAATGTCGTCCTGATATTCCAGGAATAAGTGATCGCAGAACAGGTTGACTGCTCTTAAACTGTCCTTGTCTAAAAATTGTTGGGCTGTCCCTTGAACAGGACTTATCATATTGTGTTCAGCTTACTGTTGCATACCATATTTGAGAGAAATTATCTTCTATTATTGCATGGGATATTTTTTAAGAATAGTGTGATATGACATCATTTGGCCTTCTATTATCATATTGTTTCAAAAAAGTGAAGTCTTCAGTTTGGAGCGAATTCTCTATAATGTTTTTTCTATGAGCGCATGGAATATTATCATGTTCTACCATTAAATAAGTCAGGGACTGTTTTTCTTAAGCTTTGTATCAAAATTAGCCTTTTTTTTAAAGAAGAGTATGACTTAATAAGATTCTTGAAAGTTTTGTCACTGGATTTAATTTTTTGTTTGTTTGATGGCTATATCTGTGTGCATAACATTTCTGTTTATTTTCTAATACCACAAGGGTGTTTGCGCATTTTAGACTTTGCATACCAATAAGTGGCATGCCAGTTTACATGCCATGAACTGGACTTCATGCTGAATAGTCTTCGTCTTCTCTTAAATCTAGTTCATTACAATGCAAGCACTATTTATCATGTGATAACACTACAATACAGGAAAAGCATGGCTGTGATTCTTTTCTGGATTCCAAACCTTTTGATTCATGGATTTCTCTTACTTAGAAGATGTTGGAATGTTGGTGATATTTTGCAGGGCAACTTTCATCTGGTCCAAAGAAGAGTGAGCTAAAGATTGGTGAGTCATCAGCCTTCTTTACTTACGTGAAGTCAACTGCAGTCAAAAACACTACTCAAGTGGTCACTCCTAGTGACGAAAATGCTGCACAAAATACGATCATTGAAGATAATCTTCTGCAATCTGGCCAGCAAGTGATTAATGATACCCAAGTACATGAGAATGCAGAAGCATGGGAAAACTGTTCACAAGGTGATGAATTTCCTAGCAGCAGTAGTATTCCAGATTCACTTTCCTTGGGGAGGTCCTCTACACCTCCTGTGTCAATGGAGTTCTCACAACAAAGGAATTTTAAGGAAGACAAGTTTTCTCAGTTGCTTCTGCCTCCAGGAAATGATCCTCAACAAGATATATCTGGTTTACCAACACAAAGTGCTTATCCATACTATATGTCAGGAGTTTTAAATCAACCTACAGTGCCATCATCGGCTCAATTGTATCAGAACAACCTCCATGACCTTCAAAATCATGCTAGTTCTGCTGTGCTACCTCAATATAATCATTTTCAACATTGTCTTTCCCATCTTCATGCAAGCGGGATGGCATGGTTTCCATACTACCCGGTTAATACATGCATGCAACCTGGTCACATGCCAACTGATCACTCATGGCCATCATTTGGAAATTCATCTTCCGGTGAAGTGAAATTAAATAAGGTTGACAGAAGAGAGGCAGCATTGATCAAATTTAGGCAGAAAAGGAAGGAGCGCTGTTTTGACAAGAAGATTAGATATGTTAATAGAAAAACGCTAGCTGAAAGGAGGCCCCGCATGAGGGGACAATTTGTGAGGAAGGCAAATGGTGTAACTGTTGATCTTAATGGGCAACCTGCTTCTGCTGATTATGACGAGGATGATGAAGAGGAGGAGGAGCAGGCTTCGAGGGATTCTTTTCTTGAAGATGATACTTCAGGATGTTGATGTTAAGTTCGTACTTATTGAGAATATACTTGTGTGTACCTCTACCTGTTTCCTCTAGAGGAGAACGAGTACTAGTGGCACAGTGTTCCATTAAAGTATTGATCGAAGAAGAGCACAGATCACAGATCAGAACAAACGTGCATCCCCAAATACCAATCAGGTGAAAGCAGCTGACTCAAGTTATTGCAAAGTGCTTCCATCAGGATGCATAAGTTACCCTGTTTCCCCTTTTAAGGTCAGCTGCAGCTCAAGGAACTAATATAAGGAAGCCCTTGATTGAACCAGTTCCCCTGTGGACTGCATGTCAGTCGACATTCGCACTTTGTAGTTATATTGTTTCCATGGTTCAAATTTAAACAATAGAGATCCAAAGGCCTTTCCAGTTTTTCTATTTTAAGAAGTGAAACTTTCCAAAATTGTTCTCAAATGAGATTGTAATATTGTGGGAATTTTTCAATGAAATGCAGAGTATTGAAGCGACTTGTTTATATCTACATCTATTTCTTCAACTTCCTGCCCCATTTGTCAACCAATTGAGTGTGAACGGATTTTCAGAACACCGAAGTATTTTTGTTTCAAATTTACATTCTTACTACATTTGTGCTGATGTTGCCTGTTTCAGTTGAAACCCATTGCAGAGCTACTTATTAATGATTAGAAAATATTCCAACTCGTGCGTCAAGCAGACTAACTTAAGGTTTGGCTGTTCACTGCTCAGTGGTCACAGTGCAGGCATGAGTTGATCCCGACAACTTTTACAATATATTCACTCGCCTTGGTATATATGATTTTTATATCATATTAAATACATGTCAAATATAAAAATTATTATTATATTTCATGTCAATAAGTTATGAAATTTTTTTTATTTTTACTAAATTTATATACAATTTTTATCAAAATTTTAACTCTTATCATTTTCATTTTTTTTTTTTTATATAGTTTTTAAAAATTTTAGATCCTATTAATGTACTTTATTGGGCCAGAAGGGCCCATTTCAGACATTTGAAAATAGTGCAGTAAGCATAAGAGAACAACAGCCTTCTTCCAATAAAAAAACAATGGGTTTCTGCTTTAAAAATAAACAAAAAAAGAGGCACTTTGAGTTTGAGGACCGGAAGCAGATGCATTAGCTTCTTCAATTCTTTTTTTTTTTTTGTCTTTTAAGCTGCAGCCTACAGAAATGCTAGAAAATGATAGAAATTTAGAAGGCTTATTATTTGAATAGGTAAAATTCATTCCATCGATCATCAAAAGCAAAAACAATCACCAAAACAGAAGCCCAATCATTAAATAAAGCAGCAATGGTCGATGGTAAAGATCAGAGACTCTCTTCCTCAAAGCGACCTCTCCGTTTTCCCCTCCATCAACCATGAAAATCTGCATCACCAAATTCAACAACAGCAACGGCAACATAATCCACCTTCCAAATCAACTCTTTTGCTACCTTCCGATGCCAGCGGCGTCATCCCATCATCCGCTGATCTTGGGGTTGGAGAGTGGTTGGGAATTGGGCTTGAGAATTGCGTACTAAGATCGTTAGCCTCGCTTGTCATTTCGGTTATAAAATTGAGACGATGGGAAGGGCATTTCCGTCTTTTCGAGGGATTATTGACATGACGGCGGTATGCTGTTTTGGTGGTTGTGCAAGCGGGTATGGATAGCGGTGTTGATTTTGTCGGACGATTAATTTCGGAATAATCGAATTATATTTTTTATTTATGTTAATTAAATTAAATTTATTAATTTTAAAAATTAATGGATTAATTTGACTAATTTTTCAATTAACTTAAGTATATAGTGCTGAAAATAGTAGGACGTTGAACCGGATTGATCAAAGGAATCAAAAAATTGGTAGGGCATAAAAGTGAAAATGATATGTTAATATTTATAAATTATTCGAATTCGATTCGAATAAAATTTAAATTTATTGAATTCAAATAGTTTAATTCATAATTGAGTTGAGTTTAAATATTTTTATATCTAATTCGAATAATTCGTGAGTCTAATTAAATTTTATATTTAAATATATTTGTATTGTTTTAATTAATAAAATATTTTAAATTTGAGTCCGAACTCAAGTACAAATAATCAAATTTTTTTAAAATATAATAATTAAATTTATTTTTATATATTAATCAAACTTAATAAAATAAGATCGAATAGTTCGATTTTTATTTCAAGTTATGTTCGAGCTAAAAAAATAAAATTTAATAGAGTTCAAATTGAATTTCGAACTTTAAATTTTATATTAAACTCAAACTTAAATTTAATATTATATTAATTTAAATTCGATCAATTATACCCTAATAGCATGTCATAAAGCTCTAGCTTCGAGCTGACCGATTGATAACATCTGGTCCAAGATCAAGACGCACCAATTGAATGGCGGTCCGCTGCACTCCATTTGGATGTGCGGTTGGAGTCCCTGCCACAACACCGTGAGTGCTGAAAATGATTGGATCCTCATGGCCTAAAAAAGTTAGGATCGAGTCAATAAAATGGAACTCGCGACGCGATAAGAATCAGTCGAACGTGATTGCATTCGCATTCTTTTAGTTGAAAATCGGTGGTTGACAGGTTTTAGTCTTATAGAATACCCGATGGAGTACATTTTTTTGCTAATATTATTCCCCAAATTTATAAATATATGAATTAGTGAGTATATTTGGTTTATTCATCTGATTTCTTTGGTAATGAACCAAACTAATGGTGCATTCGGTAGCTTCCTATTCCTCCCAACCATAAATTATAAATAAATATGACAATTCATATATTCGTTAATAATTCATATATTTTAATCATACTTTATATAAAAATTATATATTATAATTCGTGTTGACATAAAAATATAAATTTTTTTAAAATTTTGTTAAATTTATTTATAATTTTTATTAAAATTTTAAATAGAATCATTTTTGTGTCTTTTATTTGAGTTATTATCCTTTTTTCATGTATTGTCACCATATTTAAGATTGCCGAGTGAGACCCCAAACCAAACGAAGAGAAATCCAAGGCAAGTAAAATAAAGTCCAAGCGCAATAAGAGAATGCAAAAGGAAATGATGTATGTTGATTATAAATTTCCTTCATAAATCACTCCAATGTCGAAGGGACACAAATTGAAGTTAATAAAAGAATTCTATAACAGATCAATCAAAACGAACTCAAACTTAAAAATGTTATCAAATTGAAATTTGCTTCTCAACTGAGGAATTACATTACCTACACGTTATGACACATTAAATCTGTTTCAATCACTTTTTCCATGCGCTGAACGACGAATATCAAGCTGATCAACAATCTCCAATGGCGTCACTGTCTCATTCCTGATCCTCTTAATGTTGGGGCCTAACAATCCCCTATGTCTAAACCCATACAGCTTAAGCACCTGGTTATCAGCAAAATTGAAAGCCCTTTGCATGCTGCGCAAGCACCTTTCAACAGGGTAATCTCCATAACTCCCACAGGGCTTGCAACCTACAAAATGAGTCACAAACGGCCACCTCTCGTCCCCCAAGCCAGGATGATATTTCTCAATCATCTCCTCATACCTATCAACCAACCCTGCCCAATACCCATGCAGATAATACTGATTCTCCAGAAACACCTTATCCATCCATTGATCCTTCTGTGAAAGCAACAGGTAAATCAAAGCCGACTGATCATCTGCTTCAAATGCCGGCCTTCCTTTTAAATTAGCAGTCAAAACCTTCCCCGCCTCCTCACGAATCGGACCCTTAGGTCCCATTGGCGCCCATGCATCAAGCAAATCCAAGGACCACTGACAATTTCTAAATAGAAAGCTCCCTGTGTTCAAAGCAATCCACGACTTCTGCTCGAACATCAAATCAGGGTACCCATGAACAACCAAATTATACTTATCATACTTGGACAAAGGAATCTCAAACACCATATCTGTAAAAAAAGCATCACTATCCATCCACCAAATCCACTCAACTTCAGGATGAGATAGCATTAACCTCCTAATCAAAGGCAATTTCGCCCAATACCCAGCCAGTTCCCTATCTAAATGAGCCATATTATAAACAATTTCAATCCCATGAAGCCTACAATAATCAATCTTATTCTTTATTGCTTTCAACAAATAATGGTCTCCTATAGCATTATCACACGGGTTTGGGGGCGACCCAGTAACCAGCAAGATTCGAGCTTTTCCATTAACAAAATTAGGGAATTCAGGGTTTTGGGAAAGCCAAACCTTCCGCTGCTGGTCCCAGTCCGAAATTTTCGGTCCGAGGGTGTACGTAATATTGGGGTTAATCTCAGTTTCGGGAGGATCGTCCGGATCGGTAGGGTCGGAGTCGGAGCGAATCTCAGCAAGGATCCGTTTGGTTTCTTCGATCAGGTTTTGGTTGACAGCTTCGGCTTCGGAGCTTCCCAAATTGCCGACGCCGATGGTACCACGTAGTACGAGGATGGTAACGAAGCCGCAAAGTATTGTGATTTTAATGTTGTTGAAGGTCTTATGGATCTGCCTGCCACGCGGGAGTCCGGGAAATCCACGGGTTCTTCCACCAACGGCCGCCGCGTTGTTGGTTGTGGGTAAGCCTCCACCGCCACCAGTGGGAGATCTCTTCTGGGGAGTAAAATTATCTTGACCCATAAGGGTTATTCTCTCCAAACAAAAGAAGCAGGCCTCAGAGAGAGAGAGAGAGATCCAAGTGTTCTTTTCTCTCTCTTTTGCTCTAAAAACAAATCTCTCTAAATCGATCTCTTCAGATCATCAATGGCAAATCATATCAATTTTTTTATGATTTTTTTTAGTTGTTTTTTAGGTTTTGAAGTTGAGAGATCTGATTGAAAATGCAAAACCCTAGAAAAGGAAGGATTGAAGAAGAAGGAGACAATTGGAAGTGGAACAGATTGATGAGGAATTGATAGAGAGAGTGGAGGAAAACATGTGACCAAACACCGACTGCTAAGTACAGACTGTGCTTTTACATTATTTATTTGAATAATAATTAATTATTTTCGTAGTTAAATAATAATACTAACATTATTATAATTATTATATTTAAAATTTTTTAAATCTATTTTTCTTATAGTCGAAAATTCATTATGCACATATATAATTCGTAATTTTCAAATTTTAATTTTAATATTATGTAAATTGATTCAAAAATTATTATTGAAATCCACATTAAAAGTCTTAAATTCAAACTTTAATTATAAATAAAAAATATTATTATAATACTTTTTTAGTATTTAAATATTATTATACTATAATTTTTTTTTCAAAAGACATAATTTATTAATAATTTATATTATTAACTATAATTTTTATTAAAAAATGGCACACATAAAAAAATTACTAATTGTTAATTTAATGATACTTGAATCGATTTTAAAAATAGTAATTTCAAATTTAAATTTTATCGTAATTCAAAAAAAAAAACAAGTGAGAAGAGAAAATAAAATGAAATATATTTTACATATATATATTTATAATTTTTTATTTTTTAATTTATC